ATTACCCAGAGCAGGTGCTTCGTGAAATCTGCAGGGGGAGATGGGAAAGCAGGGCAGGGGATGGCCCTTGGCGCTGGCCTTGTGGCTCCCCGGATAGGTCTTTGTTCCCTGGAGGGCACCAGGAAGAGGGGAGCAGCCATCCCCGTGCCCAAGTGTCGATGGTCTACTCTCAGGGGTGGAGGTCGTCTAACTCTCTTCCTGCATGCTCGCTGTTGGGACACTGGCAGGTCTTGGAGGTCCGGCCATGGTACATACTTCCTCCCCCGCTGGCCTTTTCACCGGGAGGGCCCCTCCCAGGGTGCGCAGAGCTGTCCCTTGGGGCACTCCAGTCTGAGTTGCTCCTCGCTGTTCTCACCGCCGCCTCTCTGCCCCTTGTATGGCCTGGTGATGTGCCGCTTTCATTGCAGCCCGGACATCGCTGGATGTCGGCACGGAGACCACCTGGGAAGTAGAAATTGTGGCCTGGATTCGCCCTGCCACTGACACGGGGGTGCTGCTAGCCCTGGTGGGTGACAACCACGTCGTCCCCCTCTCTGTGGCCCTGGTCGACTACCACTCTACAAAGAAGCTCAAGAAGCAGGTAGAACTGAATGGCGCCCAGAAGCAGTTAGAATACGGGGCGGCTGGGACTAGGCTACACCGACCTCCGAGCAACCCCCCCATCGACCCCCCACCCCCGATCGACCCCACCCTTCCCCTTCAAGGAGAAGTCGCGAGGCTCTGCCCACTCTCTGGGCTATTGACTTGTTGAACCTTTCCCTGCCCTGGAGACTCCTTCCTAGTCCCAGGTCTGAGTACACAGAGCGAGGTGGCACTCTCCAGCTTTGGGGCCAAGGCTGCAGTGCCCATCACACAGGCAGCACGAGGAAGCCACGCTACTGCTGGCCCAGGGGGCGGGTGGTGCAGCCAGGGTCTGAATCCTTCATCTGAGCTGCCGCTGGGCCATGGTGCAGGGTGTCCCACACTAGAGCAGCGATTCATGTGACTCAGGGAGTGGCACTGGAACAGGGACAGTTCCCGTTTCTTTCAGAGTCAGACCCACTGACCTCACTGTCATCTCTGATAACTTATCAGATGCTCATGGTGGGTGGGGCCCTGGAGTCAGCTGTCCTTCAGGCAGGGCCCTCCCTCATTGAAGACCTGCTGGTCTCTTATAGAGCATGAGGCTATTGAGAGGAAGTCTGTCCCAAAGAGAAATGTGGGGCAGACAGTAGGGTTTCTATCTCCCACCTGCCCAGGCCACAGAGCCAGGCTGGCTCCTTATACTAATTAGTCATAATGAGCATCATAGCCATGCTGCATACCACCACGGGGACCAGACTTCATGCTGCTGGGCATCTTGACCCAGCCCTCGCATGTATGATGAACCACTGCCAGCACCGACTATTCACCCCGGAGAGGCCAGGCAGAGTGTGTGCTCTTCCCCATGCTGGAACCACAGCTCCAGATGACAGATGTGTCCTTTCACACCCTTTTGAGAAGTCAGCTCAGGCTGGGTGACCCAAGTCCTCACAGTGTCCCAGGGGCTTTAAAAGGTTGTATGTGTGTGCACCCTATGTGCCTGTGGAGACCAGGAGAGAGCCGCAGATCTCCTAGAACTGGAGTTAGAGATGGTTGTGAGCCGTATGGATGCTGGGGAGAAAATCCAAGGATTTGGATTTTAATTAAACAGTCGGATTCCCCTGGTCC